CCCCCCAAAAATTTTTTTTTTTAAAGTATCTCCCACCTTTTTTTTTTTTTTTTCAAAAAAAAAAAGTTTTTGCCCGGAAAGGGTCCTTAAAAAAAAAACAACCCGGGGGGGGCCCGGGGCCCCCCCCCCCTTCCCCCGGGGCGGGGGGCAACTCCATTCCCCCCTAAGGCCCACAAAAAACTGATTTATGCCCCCCCCCCCCCCCCCCCCCCCCCCCCCGCACCAGTGCGCGTGCCCGCTCCCCAACTTACCCTCCATGCGCGGCGTGTTTACGCCCCCAAAATCGATCTCCATCGACCTGACCCGACCTGGCCTCGCCTTTACTGGACGTCTTTGGAAATGATTTTGAATATATTTTGTTCGTCCGCGTGCGCTCCTGCGCGTGCTCGTGAACGCGACGTGGGTGCTGGCAGTTCCGGAAGTGGTGCCCGCTGGGCGGGGGCGCCGTTGCCGTCGACCAGGCCGGGGCCGCGGCGGCGCAGCTGGTGTCGGACTTCAAGATCGGCGCGGCGGCCCGCTACCCCATCCTCGTCATCAGCTACGAGCTCTACAGGTGAGGGGCGTATTGAAGGGGGCTTTGGGGGGGGGGGGGAGGGGCGAGAAGGAACTGCGGCACCTCTGCTGCTGTTGAGTTGCCTCCGGAAACTTTCGGTCGTGGTGGCGGTACTGTTGTTGTTGTTGTTGGTGCGAAGGTTTTTGTAGTTCTTGCGTATTTCGTGGTGGAAGCTTGTGGTTTGGGAGTGGTGGTCGTTGTTGCTCTATGCCGTACTTGAGTACGCAGGGTGAAAGATTGTGGTTTCGGGGTGAGAGTCTGCTGCCTGCCTAACAACGCGGCCGAATCCCGTTTGAGGCACGAAGACCGGTCGTTGTCGAGTCAAAGATTCTGCTCCAGAAGGACCATAGCACTTAATTTCGCCATGTATTCGTATTGATTGTGGAAAGCCGCCACACCATTCCGTACCGGATACATCATTCCGTGTCGGAGACACATCATCCCGTACAGGATTCATCATTCCGTATCGGAAACATGATCCCGTACGGGATACATCGCACCGTGCCGGATTCGGATTCAAGCGCGAAGAATAACAGGGGAAAAGTCGTGCCTACGCTCGGATGTCCCATGTTGTCGCATTCCAGCCAAGCATCGACCACACGGACCGGTAGAGGTGTACCATTTTATTTTTCCTAGCGTTCCAGAGGTCGTTTTTCCCTTTTTCTTTTTTGCGGCGGGGTTCCGCAGGAATCACGGCAAGGTCATCAACGCCACGGAGGGCCTGGGGCTCCTCATCGCGGACGAAGGGCACCGGCTGAAGAACTCGGCGGAGACCAAGACGACAAGGGCTCTCAAGGCCTGCCCGGCTGTGATGCGCCTGGTTCTGGTGAGGTTTTGGGTTGGGATTTGTCCTGGTGTGCTAATTGTGGTCGTGGTCGTCGTTAATGTTGTTGTTGTTGTTGTGGTGGTGGTTTATGTTGTTGTTGTTGTGGTGGTGGTGGTTTATGTTGTTGTTGTTGTTGTGGTGGTGGTTTATGTTGTTGTTGTTATTGTGGTGGTGGTTTATGTTGTCGTTGTTGTGGTTTATGTTGCGATGGTTGCCCCGGTGAAACTGGGTCGCAGAGACACCGAAGAGACGCAATGCCTGATGGCACTCCTTGGCACCTACCGCTCCGCTCGTGAAAACTTCCCCCTCCAACCCTGAATCGACATCCCTCGAAGCTGCATTCCCTCACGCACCTCTCTTAGTGTCGTGCAACCCAACCGGATCATCTTTCCCCGATACCCGACGCTACTGCCTGTTGCCTCTGTTCGCTTGTAGTACATACCACTCTGGGTAATTTTTCAAGCTCAGTAGTCGCTCAGGTCCGGTCCGTCCGCAAACGTTTTTTTTTCTGGACGATATTTTAATGCTTGTCGTCGTAAATGCCGTGTCTTAGACGGGCACTCCCATGCAAAACGACCTCGACGAGTTCTTCGCGGTGGCGGACTTCGTCAACCCCGGCCTACTGGGCAGCCTCAAGAGCTTCCGATCCAGGTGCTGCTAAAGTATTGTACCACGCGACGTGGGCTTTCTCGTAATAGCCCAAACGCGGCTATGTGTTTCCTGTCCGTCGTTGTAGCGGCCGGAACCTCCCGGGACATACACCTCCGAGAACAGGAGCAGCGTCCAAGGCGTGTGTGTCTGTCGTGGTTGACTGTTCCCCATTTTTCCCGGAATGGCGAGAAGACATCGCAAAAGTGGAAAAAGGCAGGTGGAACGTAGAGCCGTCGTGTCCGCCTCAAATAGGAGCAGACATCGAGAGCAACAGACACGCACATGATGTGCCGTCCGTTCCGTCCCGTTCCAATCCGTTCCGTTCGTTTCCATTCTGTTCGGTTTCGTTTCGTTTCGTTCCACTCCGTTTTCGCCGTCTGCTCTGTTCCGGTTTGAGTTGGTTTTGGTTCGGTTCGTTCCGTTTTCCATTTACCGTACTATATCCATACGCCGACCTCACCGCCGGCGACGCTCCTACGACTACCACCCACCCGCCGCAGGTACACCCGCCCGATCAAGGCCGCTTGGGACCGTGATGCCAACGAGGATGCTGCGGAGCTGTCGGCCGAGAGAACACGCGAACTCGGAGAGGTGCGAGATGGCTTTGAAAGGTTTATATAGAAAAAGTGGAGTGCGTGCGCCATGTACGCGATAAGCTGATGCGGCGACGGCGTCCGGGGCAGACGAAAAAGGAGCAATTCGCGATGTTTATCCCGTTAGAGCGGACGGACGGGCCTTGATCGATGTATTTTTTGTTTTCCCGACGTTGTGTTTCGTTTTGCCTCAAGACCCTGCTCCGTCGGCGACGGCTATGACGCACTGCCGTGCATACTGGTCTCTTGTTTGAGAGAGTAGACGCCGGGCTTTGATGTTACGCATGCTGTGACTCTAATGTGTTGTATGCGATGTGCCATGCGTAAGCTACTCATTACGCTGCGACGGCGTCTCGGAACCGTCAATAACTTGGTGGTACCGCAATAACTGGGTGGTACCGCAACCAGAGCCAACCGCCGTACGTTGTGTGTACGAAGTGTGCGCGTTCGTCACTTTCGGTCTTTTTGTCTTGGGATGATCGTCTGGGGGGATAAGGGCTCTCCTGCTGGCCCCCTTGCGGCGGGTGAGAAAAGGGTTCCGACGAAAGAGTCAGAGGGTTCTTGCACCCAAGTCAGTCGCACGATTTTTGCTGGGCGGCGTGTATATAGCACGAACATATATATATATATAGGCCTCGCTAATGATGAACGTCCGCCGGGCCGAGGGCGGGGGGTGCGACTCCACTTATTTTTTCCTAGGGTCAGCCGCCCGCCACGGAGAGCGAGCGGTGGTAACATTACAACCCAGCCCCCATCTAGTTCGCAAGAGGTCCCCGTCCTGTGTACCGCTGCTGCCGACACCCCCCCCCCCCCCAAACGTACCGCGCTTTCACCGACCCCGTGCGCGTACACGCACAAACGCCACAACAACGTACGTACATTCATCACGTGTTTTGTATTGTGTTTGTCCCGCGAGAAAAGATGACGGAAAAATTCGTTCTCCGGAAAACCAAGGATGTCATCCGGGGGTCCCTCCCCGCAGCCCTGGAGGTGGTCGTCTTCTGTCGCCCTTCCGCGCGGCAGCTGTCCCTGTACGAAAGCTGCATCGCGGGCTCGGCGGGCGCGAGATCCCTCCTGTACGGCGACGGCGGCGACGCGGATAGTGATGGTGCAGGGGGGGGTGGCTCGAACCGGGTAGGAGAGGACGAGGAGGACGAGGTGGACGAAGAGGAGGAGAGAGAGGAGGAAGAGGAGGACGGTAGTGGTGTTCGCACGCAACAGGGGCAACGTCGTCGCCGGATTGGCCTTCAGGGAGTCCTGCCGCTCATCTCCAAGCTGCGCAGGCTGTGCAACCACCCGGACCTAGTGGAGGAGGACAGCAGCGCCGCTGGCGAACTGTCCGCCGAGGGAGAAGAGCGGCAAGGCGGCGGCTCGGGCTCCGGCAAGGAGAACAGAAACACCCGAGAAGAACACAGCACCGCCGGTCGGGCAGGCGCCAAGGGCGCGTGGAAAGTGCCTCGTGCAAGCGGAGCAGCTGCAGCGGTGGCGGCGGCGAAAGGCGGCGCCAAGGGGCTGGGCAAGGCTTTCGCATCGACAGCGGCGGCAGCGGCAGCGGCGGCGGCGGCGGCGGCGGCGGCGGCGGCGGCGGCGGCGGCGGCGGCGGCGGCGGAGGCGGAGGCGGCGGCGTTACCCTTGTACGAGACGGGGGCCTCAGGAAAGATGACGGTGCTGGAGGCGTTGCTGAAGGCCGTCCGGCGAGAGTACCCCGGAGACAAGGTGTGTGACCGTGCCGTACGCCCTTTTCTTGTACAAGAGCTGTGACATCTCGCATGCCTAGGACTCGCGATCGACGTGTGTTCTAGGTCGTCGTACCGGAGTACAAGACTTTTGGCTCAACCCCTCACGCTCGCCACATCTGTGACGGCACTACTGTATCAATAAAGAGGTGCAAAAGTTCCCGTCGTATATAGTAGATACTTCCGTTAGAGGACTCTCCGTGTGGCACGGTGCCGAACAGCTTCGGGGCGGAGACAAAGGGGTTCATGTAGTTGGTCTGGTTGGTTGCTCGGCCGAAAAAGTGTGCGGTCGTTCGTGCAAAAATTTCTTCCTTCTGGGAGCGAGGTGTGTGGTGCGCACCTTCGACCTCTCTTGCGGTACGCTACATAGGACGAGACGGATGTGAGCGGGCGGCCGCGGGTCGACAGACAGATACGATTTGGTGTCGCCTTCTTTGCAACCAACCGTGGAAGCATCGCACTCCGCCGGGGAAATAACTACCACGCTGCGGGGGGGGGGGGAGGCTGAGTCGAAGCACGCCGACATACGCACCGCATCTTTCTACCTCGCTTGCTGCTGCCTCCCCTCTTCTCAGCTCTCAAACTAAATACGGCAGTTATGTAGTAGTTATACACTCCTTCCGCCGATGACTACGGTTTTCTTCCACCGCTGGCTACCGTTTCTTGGCCCCAGGCCAAGCTCCGCCGACCACGACCGCTTCAAATGCGAAGTTTACCAAACAAAGCGAAAGAAACAACACACAACTCCTCCCAACGCCAACACGCAGGTCGTCGTCGCCTCCAACTTCACGTCCGCGTTGGACGTCCTCGAGACGCTGGCGGAGCGAAACGCCTGGGGTTTCCTCAGGCTGGACGGCGGCACGACGACCAACGCGCGGCAGAACCTCGTCGACCGTTTCAACCGCGCCTCTCCGGAAGACTTGTTCCTTTTTTATCTCTCGACGAAGGCGGGCGGCGTAGGGCTCAACCTGTGAGTGTGTGCGCCGTGCCCATGTCGGTGGCCGTTTCGCTACGGGTGGGAGTTGTATTGATGACTGGTAAAGCCCCGCTGATGAGGAGGGGGCAAGGGGGGGGGGGGGCTGCAGTGATGAGATGGGGACAAATGTTGAGCCTATCGATGTTTGTTTTGTTGGGCTCTCCGTGTGTGTTGGTTTGTTCTAACTCTCACCACTCTCGTTAATGTTTTCAATTGGGCGTTTTCGATCGGTGTGTGCATATGAACTGCGGCTTTGCCAACGGGACGCACGCCACTGCTGCAGCGTAAATGTTGCTAGCAATGCCTCCCGGGTCCCATACACAGTTGTGGCGAGCCCTCCTCGCAAGCCTGGGGCTGCATGCTTGTCCGGGAGGGGCTCGCCCTCAAGCCACAACGGTATGACTGTTTCGTGTATGCCAGAACTATGTTGTCGCTAATACGGTATGCAAGGCCGGGATGCCATGAATTCTTTCTCACCAACCGCCAGCAGGAAACCCTCCCCACCGGCTACCACCGACAACCCACTCGCTACTTACGATGCGGACCTTTTCCCCCCCGAACTGCTTTCTTGGAACATCGGCCCGGTTCCCAGGGTTGGAGCGAACCGTATCGTTTTGTTCGATTCGGACTGGAATCCAGCCACCGACGATCAGGTGACAAGACAAACCAGCCAATAGGAGTAGAGACGTTGCAGCATCCCTCGCTTCTGTTATGCTCCATGTTGCCGTTGATGGGGCTACGTGACCCCTAAGTAGCGTACTTCGGGGTGTTCATCGACGTTCGTCGGATCTGGCGCGCCACACGCAAAGTAATGTTCCGGTCTCTCGGCGCAGGAAACGTTCTCGGGCTGGGGCTGGCTGTCGAGACAGACACGGAGCCCGCTTCAACTAAATCGTGTTCGCCCTAGGTCCTTTGCTACTGTATTTTGGTCCTGTTGGGGGTGATTCTCAGCCATGCCGATTGTCCTCAAATACTCAGCCTACATACCAAACAGGGATGCCCCCCCCCCCCCCCC